CTGGAAATGCCTCCACGTCCTGTCCTTGGCGGGAAAAATGAAAGTGAAAAATTGTAGCTTGACCCGTCAACATGTAAAAAAGGGCCCGTCAACGTGTCAGAAAGGGCCGCCATGGCAAAGGCGTGAGCTAGTAGTACAGCAGTAGTGCAGTAGTAGTACAGTAGTACAGCTCTAGTACAGCCGTAGTACAGTAGTACAGTAGTAGTACAGTGGTAGTACAGTGGTAGTACAGTAGTAGTACAGTAGTAGTACAGTAAACCAGTCCATGGCAGGTCCGCCAACATGCAAAAATGGCCCGTCGACATGCCAAAACCATCCATGCCAGGTCCGTCAACATGCAAAAATGTGCCCGTCGACATGCCAAAACGCAGCTTAAGCATAGTATCTCGAAAGCTCTGTTGGCAACCCGGCGCGGCGCATTAGCATGTTGACAGGCTCCCTCCCCTCTACCGATGTACGGAGTCCCTCTTGGGCTCTCATCTAGACATCCACTCTGAGTACGCAGCTTGCACTTGAAGCTCGCGGCCTGAGACCAACATGTCGGAGGAATGCGAAACAGGAACTCAGGTTGGCCTCACGTTCGACGAATTCAACGAGACTGGCATGTATAGGGAGACAGGGACCCAGTGTTGGCGCTGCTTGTGCGAGGTTGGGTCTGAAGCCTCTGATGGTGGCAGCCTGTCTCAATGATTCTAAAAGACAGGGTCCATGATACCCCAAGCTTTCATTTGTGCAGGAGATTTGGGCCCAGCAGCAGCAGAGCGTTCTCTGTGCCGAGTCTTGTGCTCTGTGCCCAGGAAGCCTTGCTGCTCATGCGCACGGAGAACGTCGCAGCATCAGGCGTCAGACTCAGCAATCTTGCCGTTCCTTTGAATCCATGTTGGTTCAGGTACCTCCGACATCCCGTGATGTGCCTTGAAAAAGATGTTCGCCCAACAGCCAACCTAAACCAGATGCCCGTAAAATCGAAAAACAGCGTGTGTCAACTCACAAAGTGCAGGGTTACTCCAACCCAAGAAATGGATGCGGCAGTGTTCGGGTTCTCACCATACACCAGTAACTGCTTTGTGGCGAGCGTGACCTGTATGATTGCGTGATGCGATGCCCCCATCAGTGTGAACGGCCTGCTATAGTCTCCTCCGTTTTCCTGCTTATACGACTTATCTTTTGCCGAGCTGCAAGAAAGACCCTAAACCCTAAACGCGGTGGTGTAGCAGTGATTGTTCGCTAGCCTTGTTAGCTGATGTATCCAGTTGAACACAAGAGACCTCGTCTGGCGGAGTCCGAGTTGCGAGAGCGTAAGCCCTAAACCTGTGAGCGCCGAAACCCTAAACCCAAATCCCTTTGCCGGCACATCTGAAAATTTGCGGACGTGAGAGCCTTAGCCTTGAGCACCTCAAGCGGTGGCAGGCACGGACACCGAGGAGAATACATGGACTGGTTCGGAGAGTGCTGCTCCAAGTGAATCCGAAAGTCTGGAGCTTCCTTGGGTTTTTGAGATGAATTGCACCATTCCAGCCAGAGCACTCGCATTCACCTGTGTAATCAGTTTGCACGACGTTTGTGGTGGTGGTGGTGGTGGTCACTGTCAGTCACAGTGCAAAGGAAGCACAGCCCAGCCCTAGACTGAGGCCTAGCTTCTGCTGAAGATGATGGTTCCTCGAAGGATCGCTCCTCGGGGAGGCAGGTCAAACACGTAAACTACGACCATACGAGCAGCACAGTTATTCGGCAGGTGTGGAAAGGAAAGCCATGAACGGTTTTCCATTACGAGAACATGTCTCTGCACTTGAAGTATCATCCTTTGGGGCAGAACACCGATGTTAAGTAGCCTGCTTGTACCTAAAATCATGAGTCTGCATCATGACGCATTCGGAAGCATTTGATATTCCCGCAGGCCTTCGACGGAACAGTCCTTGACTCTCTTCGTTTGAAGTCCGTGCTGGATCGCCAGAAGAACGTTGACCATCAGCGGTTGCACCTTGGAGCCCCGGTGGTTCCAAGAAATGTCCACCGCTCAACCTAAAGCTTCGAGCTCAAGATGCCGCGGGGCACATATGTCTTTCAAGAAAGAGACTGGGCAGAGGCAGTTTGTTACCTTGCCATACTCAGCCTGGAGATGTGTGGTTCAATCCACCCAGCTGACTGATATGCAGCCTTGCGTTTCATTTTAGTCAAGGTTACCAATCTTACTAAATGACATGTTCCAAATTCAGATGCTGTATTGGTGTTTGTTGACATCATCTATCTGTGCTGCTATCGTTTGCGATACTGCTGCGTTCGGCAGCCCGTGTTGTACGGTACAGTACCACCTGCTTCGTGGACGAGCCTGTGCACCTTTGCACATGCAGCTATCATGCATTAATGGGATTCCAGGCAGCCTGCAGCAACCTTCAAATTTCGGCAGTTCTCGCCACGTGCACAAGCTTTAGCCAGGAGCTTCAGAGACTAATTTGAGCTTTTCTGGCGATGTAAATGTCACGGCGGTAGTTTTTCCTGTGATCGCGACACGTGGTCGCAAAACACCCCCGTTGCACGAAGGATCTGCAAGCGTGCGCTTCGGCATTTGCGCCTGTTTGTGAAAAAGCCGACATGCTCCGAACTGCTTCGTTTGAAGAACCTGTATTTTGTTACTGAGGGCTTGTCGAAGACAGCTTCGCTTGCAGCATTTGGTGAATCAGGATGCCTCGTGTCGCAGTCTAAGCATATGCCGGCGCGGATCAGTGCAATGTCAAGGATGCCGGTGTGAGTGTTCCATTAGCATGCTTTGGTTGTCATTGTTTCACAGTGAGGAAACTGCAACATACGCTTCGGGATGCGATGTTGTTCAGGAGACTGTTTTTTCTAAAGCTGTGCTACTTTCAAGTCTGCTGCGGGCAGCTGATAGGAGCGTCGGACAGCGTAGGAGGTTCCAGCATGCAAACGCAAGGCTGGTGATCGTTCAGCGCCTTTCCTGGCTCGACCGACTTTTCTCGAACCGAGCTGAAGATGCAGGTCCTTTGAGGAAGAGACAGGAAGCCAATTCGCTAGGAAAGCACCCCCAGCGCGCAAGGTGCAGCAAGCACCTTTGGGGAATCCAAGCGGCACCCGAAGTCATGATCGGAACGGGATGCAGAATGTTGAGCGTCTTGCAAACATCCCCTCTGCATCATGCCTTCAGCGGCATAGCCTCAGTGATGCAAGCCGCAAGACTATTCGACCAACATCGAAAACAAGGCATGATTCTCGAGCATTAGGCCGTGGTGTTGTGTGGCCAATAAGCTGCTCGGTTTTCTTCCATGCTTGAAGTCCTTCTATTCACTGGTTGTGCAACCGATACTCCTCACAGGTATAGGGCTAGATCTATGCCGCAAACAGAGTCGGATGCGTTTATGGTAGCGATGAACCTTGGAAGGGAGGGTCCTCAGCAAAAAGCGAATCATTGTTGACATAAGCTACAGGCCCGTTTGCGAAGGACTGGCTACTCCGGGGGTTGGTGCTCTATAGCAGCATAGCTATCACCTCTCGCCGAGGTCTTGTTTGGCTGGCATCGTGAGCCGGATTTGTCCGTCCTTCTCGTGAAAGGTGGGCTGCTGTTTCAGCTAGTGGAAAGCGCTTTGTGATCCAGTCTTCAGAGAGGACCTAAAACTATCAGGTTTCCTGGGATCCAGGAGGCCTGACGATTCACAGGCTTCCGAATCGCTGAGCAAAGCAGCATCCCATTTGGAGGATAAGTCGATGCATGTTCGCAGTCGCACTTGAAGCTGTGTGTCTCGACACACTGCAGGGCTGCCCTTAAAATCCTTCAATGCTACACCGTCATTGTTTGTCAGTTCCAGATCCTCAGTATCATGCATAGGACCTGAAATCTGAAACATAGCAACAGGAATAGGACAAACTCAAAGCAACGCACATTCGGGCAGGTTGCAGCTGTGCACCGTCCGGAGATGACAACAGCTGCAAGTTCATCTGAGTGGAGTGACCAGAACTTCGTGCGGAACTCGGCACGAGAGAAGGCGTTGGACAAGTCCTCATGCCCACAACTACACCAGGGGTACTGAGCGAGGTCTTCGCCACGGACGGCCTAGCTGAGCCTGAATCAGTGGTTGGTCCACTTCCATGAGGCCCGACCGCATGTGGTTTGCCGTTTGCTTAACTAACGAAGGCCGTCACAGGCCAGCTGCATGGTCAGAAGGGTGCCCTTGGCTTGAGGCTCCACTGTTCCACAGCTTGTATTCTGCTGTGGCCGCGCTATGTTGACCTCAACAGGCTTTCGCTCGATGCGTGCAGCATGCTGTGAAGGACTGGCCCAACATGGAGCCCTTTACGCGTCAACTCAGATATGGGCGGCAACGAGCCGGGATGTGCGCATCGGAAGCACCGAAATTCACGCCTTGGATCCGGGGGTTTACATGGCGCAGCACTGATTGGTGCAAGTCCCCTGGATCAGATTCGCTCCCGGAAGTGTGTAGCATCAGAACCTCAAATTACAGGTAACTGCGAACCCTTTGCCAAACCTTTCCCGTTCGGCTTTCGACCGCTGCAAAGAAATACCTTCAAGGAGGGAAGTGTGAGAAACTTGTCACCTGCATTCAGTCTATTGCGATGCTCAGTCTCGCAGAAAGTCGTTGCAAGACACCTTTGACACCCCAGCACATTTTGGGCAAACAGCTGCCTCAGCGGTGAAGCTGTACACGAAGTTCGAGGTGCAATCCTTCTGCACGTGGCGCGACTGGCAAATGAAACGAACACCGACCTTGGATTGGCAATGCGAGGGCCATCGAGCGACTTCAGCAGTCTGGTTCTTGCATGCACCTGAAATAGCCTCTGCGGGCGGGGGGGGGGGGGGGGNNGGGGGGGGGGGGGGGGGGGGGATAACCCGCTCTTCGTGCGTCAATGGGAGGACATGTTTTGCGATCATCATGAGATCTGCAGAGGATGAGTCCTCGAAGCCTTTGCTTCCAGATAGCTCTAATATCGGGGTCCGGGAAAGGCTGCTTCAAGATCCGGTCTATCCCATCCTTGATAGAAGCTGACCCGCAGCGGTACTAAGATCTGACGGCCGATCTTACAGAGGTGTTCAGCAGTGAAGCTGTTTTGATTGTCAAAGAAATGGACTTACTGTCGAGTTGCCGACTTTACGGAGCATTCATTCTACGAACTGAGTACTCGCCCAAGATGTTCATGATAGAATCCGCGGGTTGTGTGACGCAGCTTCGGCCAGGGTGGGTAGTGGAAGGGGGGGGGGGCACGGCGGACGATAAATGGTCCGCTGCGTCTCGTCAAGCCACCTACAGCACGCCCATGAACATGGGACGTCATGAGTTTGCGCCCAAACGCTTCAACAGAGAAGGCGAGGCTCAGCATGTCTCGGCCCTTTGAAAGCCATAGACCCCACACTCTGAGGGCTGCGGGTGTAGGGGAGACATGCCATCATCCGCAGATTACGGCAGCAGCTTCTCAATGAAGCTTGACCCATACGGGTGTCGGCTGCCATGTCTGCTGATGCAATCTTCCGGACAGCTACTTTGCATGGCTACTCACTAGTTGCGGTTGATGCAAGGAGCCCGAGCAGCGAGTGCAGACACCAGGAGCACAACACTTGGTTAGTCCGTAATGACATTTTGAGACGAAGGGCGGATTATCCGGCTGTTACTTCCTCACTGTAGCTTGTGACTCATAGTCTTCCTAGGCGATTAGTTAGAAAGGTTATGAGAGAGACTATGCTGTGTAAGTTAATGTGATTGGGGAGGAAAACCTTCTGTATCCTTTTGCGATGATGTCGTCATGTCTTCAAGTCTGCTATGATGTTGAGGGGAAGCTGGGATCTTCCATTACAGCCGGCATCTATGTATCCTCATTGCAGAGCCGCACCACATAGATTTGGCTTGCCATTAAGCGGTCGTCAATCGTCTTCGATTCTTGTCGAAGCGGTCGTGTTACCATGGGTCTTCGAGAAAGTAAACGATGTGAGGGAACGGTTTGGAACTGTTGCTTCGTCAGTGGACACTTCGAAGTCAATGTTGAATCGGAAGCTCCAAGATTCCTCTGTGGGCCTCGGTTCAAGTGCCGTGGCGCGTGCTCGGACTGGTGTTTTTATTGACCTCCGCAGGGGCCCCAGCTGTTCATGTTCTGAGACATTTAGAGCCAGTATTTCGAGCGTCGCGTCTTCGCAGTCCATGCCATGTCCTGCTGCGTCATGTTACTGTGCAGCAAGAGCCTGAATGAGATCTCATTGATCCCAAGTCGATCTCTCGTGGGCCTTTAGTGCGGCTCTGGAACTGTCCATGCAGGGACGCTCCTTTTTTGTGTACGATCTCTGTTCTGAGGCCATGGCTTTCCGCCGACTGCTACCACGACTGCCCGCAGCGCGCGCGGCGCTGAACTCGGCGGCGAGGCACCCTGCGGTGGGAGTTTTGTATTGGAGAAGTACGGTTTCTGAGGCTTGCTGCAGCTCTTCGGAAACTCGAGAGACTGTCACGTAGCAATTGTCACCACATGCACTGATGAAAATCATGCCTCCTTTCTACTTGAAGTTCTCAACCGCTTGCAACGTATTGACTCTCAGTGACTCGGCCCTACTCGTTCTGTAGTCTCCTTGCGTTGTAGACCAGCTTCAATCACCTACGTTCTGGAGCTCCAGGTCGCTGCATGCCTCGGCTCCAAGGCGGGCAGGGGGGCACATTTTTAAGCATCAGCTTGCCTTTTCTTGTGCCATTCTTCAATCTTTCACCCGGGTTCCAGTACAGCACACTGTGATACGAACATGAATCGAATGACACGCTTTGTCGATGCAACTCATCCCTGGCCCGTCAGGCCCACTGGGCCTGCAATGCACCTGTACTCACTGTACTCGTAGCATCAGAGCATCCCATGACTTCGTCTGGAGAGGAATGCTGCCAAAGTGAGCCCAGCAGAGCTCACCAAGATCCTTAGCGAGCGCATTGCCAACTTCAAGGACCCGTGGCAGGATGTGGCAGGTGCAAGTGGACGGTTCGGAGACATGGGGCGCTCCTCTGCTCAAGCTTGGAGACGCTGACTCGGCCCGTTTGCAGGATCAGGCTGATGTGCAAGAAGTTGGCCGCGTCCTCTCTGTTGGGGATGGGATTGCACGCATCTACGGCCTCAAGGGCGTGAAGGCAAGCTTGTAGTTCAGATCACCAGCGCAAGCTTGGAGGAATGAGGGGATGTAGAAGCAGGACTTTGGCTTTGAGATTTTCATCTCAGGGTCAAGCCGAGGTTTGGAGAGGCTAGACACCAGAGTCGAGGATTCAGGGCTTGGATGGTAGGGTTGAAGTTAATCATCTCGTTGTCAAGTTCAGAAACATAGTAGCCGACTAGAGTGACTAGAGACAGCATCATCCGAAATTCTTGGATGCTGTATGATGTTAGGATATGTTCGTTGAATCAACTGCTCCGGCACTCTTTGCATGCCCAATTTCCAGTGGGACAGGCTTCCTTGGGCAGAGACAGCAAAGTAACAGAAATTGACACAGAGTTCCGCAACTTACACATTGGCGAAGTTGTACCGTGCAGGCAGGCGAAATGGTTGAGTTCTCGAGCGGCCTAAAGGGCATGGCGCTGAACTTGGACCCTTAGCATGCAGCAAAGACTCCCAAAAGACATACTTAGGCCCGGAGACCTGTTTCAGGCTTGTTCTTTGCTTTCTTGCGGCAAGGATTGTCGGTAAACAGTGACGCTCTGTGACGATCGCAGGGGCTACATGTTTACCAAACACAAGTTCGCCGAGTAGACTCAGCAAAGATGGCTTGATGCATGGACTGTCGTGACAGGCC